GATGGTAAAATCATCTGCTCAAATTGAACCCTTTTAAGTTTCAAAAGGTAACGAAATATGCTTTATTTTATTCTTCTGTAATTCTTCTTAAAATATCGAGAGTTTTTTGCTATTGCAGCAGTTAGAGATCCATCCGTGCTGGATATATTGGTCCGGGTCGCTAAAGACCCGAATATGTAATAATGATTGGCGAAACATTCATGCATTTAAGGGTTAAATCTTTAGTTCACATACTAGTATTAGTTTTCAAATTACATATATTCACGTATTGGAAAGGAAATGGATATCTTGTCAGAAGTATTAGGATATGATGCCTGCCGCAACCTTACTGCAAAGTTGTTGTTAAAAAGTCAGTCGTGCAAACAATTACCAATATTTAGCCATTAACCATTTTTCTGAACATAATTTTATATGGACAGAAAAATCATGCTTTGAATCAAGATTGTGACATTGTTAATAACCCATCATCTTTGCAACAGGCTTGCGAGTGCGAATCAAGCAATATCTTCTCTTTTAGATATTGGAAAATTGGAAAACACAGCATGAAAGGATCCTGGCGAGATCAAACATGTATTTTGATGAAGGAAAAGAACATTGGGTCACATAAGAGGTGCAACCTCAGCTTTGCTCATATTTCCATTCATTCTATTACTAACCTGTAATACAGGCGCATTCTCCTCCCAAACTGACACAGTATATACTTATAAATAAACATTAGAATGAACTTTACACCCCTGACCCCTGATATTTTGCATGCATTATGTCTGGGATAAATGAAAATGTCAGTGGCTCCTATACTGGAGATATATGAACAGTAATATGTAGAGTTAATGGGTTTGAGAAGAACCTTTGGCACTGCATACCTGGGTTAATGGTGTTGTGCTTCCTGTGTGTACAGTTCGCTAAATGGACATCCCTTAAGTCAGCAAATAACATAAATGAGGTGCTATTCATTTGATACAGAATATATGCCTTGTGGGAAGATGATGGAAAATAACCACTGAAAGTACTATAGTGACAAACAAAAAGGCATTGATACGCTTTCTGACAGTTTTATACCTTGACAAGCTTGAACTGACTCCCAGTGAAAGGTCTTTTATCAGTAAAACTGCATATAAAAAGGCAAAATGGCCTGTCAAGAATTGAGAAATATTTGACATCCTGATTAAACACTTTTTACATAACATTCTTCATTTTTTAGTTTCTTGCAGCATATCCTAAAAACCTTACATTGCTCAAAAAATTAAAAGCTAAAAAATTAGCCTCATCAGGACTGGAGAATTATCATGTCATGCCCGTCACAGAAATAAATTCAAGTCTGATAAATTCTGTGGAGGAATTACTTCTCAGTTCAAGTTGCCCTTGTAGCATTATTGATGGTGTTGTTAGATCGGCTCATTAGATATGTCTTTTACTATTCATCTTCCAATTACATGTGTGGTGCTTGTTGACTTCAAAGTGATTTCTTATGGTGTACCACCATCAAAGATGTTCAGGAAGAAGACAAAACAGAGAGATTAAAAATGGCTTTTAATGGGTCTGGTAGCACAGACAAAGATCAGATGTGATCCCTTTAGAGTTTAAAATGCTCAAGCCTCCAACCAATATCTAGTACTTAAAATACAAACTGATCAATGAAGAGTGATTTGAAACATTATAACATTATGTGACTATGCATCATCTTTGATGCAGAAAATAAAGACTGGTTGTGTAATCCGTGTCTTTTGTGCTGCTTGTACTTCTTGCTGAATTAACTTGAATCACAGTCCTTATAAAAAAGATTAAAACTATCATTTGCATGATATCGGATTTCCTTTGCAGTCCTGGCTTTTTCCTGTATTAAAAGTTTAAATAGAAGAACCTGTTTAGAACCCAACTACTTTATCAAACTATAATTACAAAAAGTAGAAATGCAAATGAGTTTCTTGGATTTCTTAATGTTACACTGTCAGATATGCAAAATAAATCTATTGTATCTCTTGCTCTGGCTACTGTGTATAGACCATCAGGGCCATATACAGATTTCCTAAAATAATTTGCAGATTTCCTCTCAGACCTATTGGTTACTGTTGATAAAGCGCTAATTGTCGGAGATTTTAACATTCACGTTGATAATACAAATGATGCATTAGGACTTGCGTTTACTGACCTAATAAACTCTTTTGGAGTCAAGCAAAACGTCACCGGGCCCACTCATCGTTTTAATCATACGCTAGATTTAATGAACATGACCATTTCCTTGTATCGTGCATGCTGCATATTACTGATATTAACTACACTGTACAAAATTATAAACGCAACACTTTTGTTTTTGCCCCCATTTTTCATGAGCTGAACTCAAAGATCTAAGACTTTTTCTATGTACACAAAAGGCCTATTTCTCTCAAATATTGTTCACAAATCTGTTTAAATCTGTGTTAGTGAGCACTTCTCCTTTGCCGAGATAATCCATCCACCTCACAGGTGTGGCATATCAAGATGCTGATTAGACAGCATGATTATTGCACAGGTGTGCCTTAGGCTGGCCACAATAAAAGGCCACTCTAAAATGTGCAGTTTTATCACACAGCACAATGCCACAGATGTCGCAAGTTTTGAGGGAGCGTGCAATTGGCATGCTGACTGCAGGAATGTCCACCAGAGCTGTTGCCCGTGAATTGAATGTTCATTTCTCTACCATAAGCCGTCTCCAAAGGCGTTTCAGAGAATTTGGCCGTACATCCAACCGGCCTCACAACCGCAGACCACGTGTAACCACACCAGCCCAGGACCTCCACATCCAGCATCTTCACCTCCAAGATCGTCTGAGACCAGCCACCCGGACAGCTGCTGCAACAATCGGTTTGCATAACCAAAGAATTTCTGCACAAACTGTCAGAAACCGTCTCAGGGAAGCTCATCTGCATGCTCGTCGTCCTCATCGGGGTCTCGACCTGACTGCAGTTCGTCGTCGTAACTGACTTGAGTGGGCAAATGCTCACATTCGATGGCGTCTGGCACTTTGGAGAGGTGTTCTCTTCACGGATGAATCCCGGTTTTCACTGTACAGGGCAGATGGCAGACAGTGTGTATGGCGTCGTGTGGGTGAGCGGTTTGCTGATGTCAACGTTGTGGATCGAGTGGCCCATGGTGGCGGTGGGGTTATGGTATGGGCAGGCGTATGTTATGGACAACGAACACAGGTGCATTTTATTGATGGCATTTTGAATGCACAGAGATACCGTGATGAGATCCTGAGGCCCATTGTTGTGCCATTCATCCACGACCATCACTTCATGTTGCAGCATGATAATGCACGGCCCCATGTTGCAAGGATCTGTACACAATTCCTGGAAGCTGAAAACATCCCTGTTCTTGCATGGCCAGCATACTCACCGGACATGTCACCGATTGAGCATGTTTGGGATGCTCTGGATCGTCGTATAAGACAGTGTGTTCCAGTTCCTGCCAATATCCAGCAACTTCGCACAGCCATTGAAGAGGAGTGGACCAACATTCAACAGGCCACAATCAACAACCTGATCAACTCTATGCGAAGGAGATGTGTTGCACTGCGTGAGGCAAATGGTGGTCACACCAGATACTGACTGGTTTTCGGTGTGTGTGCATATGGGTGAATGGTAGCAGGCAAAAAAAGGAGAAAAACTTTTCAAAATGCACTCAATTTATTGTCTCACATGTACAGTGCTCAAGTGAAAAGGTGACTACAATATTTACAGAAAACGAATAACAAACAGTGAATAACAGAGCAGAGGCGGGAAGGGGAGAACGAGAGGTGCCAAATAAAAGAAATAAAACAAAACACAACTATTTTTAACAAACTAAACTAACTACCAAAAAGAAAATGTAGAAAGAAAAAGATCTTCGGAGTAGAAACGCCCTAACTAAACTACACAACCTAACGAAAAACAGTGGAAAAAACATACAGAGGGTGGCACTCTCTCCAAAACCTAGTGTGTCTAATACAGAAGGGAAAATGTTGCACGTATGTCGCGTGACCAACTTACCTGCACGCACCTTCCCAGCCTCACACAAAACGTGATTAACTGGAAAGACTGAACAGTAAAACGCAACTATACACTGTACAAACAAATCAACAACAAAGGACTCTTCTAACAAGTATTAAGCACACGTAAAATATACAGAAAACAATCTCAGAACAAAAACAGAGCAACAAATCACACACAAGCAAACAGCAGTATAACGAAAGCGAATTGAGCAAAACAGCTGGAGTCGCGGGGGATATACAGGCTTTTAAAACTGGGCGTTGAAAGGTGTTTGGCAGCGTGAATGTCATCAGAATGACTGAGGCTGAGGGACCAATGGGATCTGGAACACACAACGCAAGACTACCACACATACATAAACATGACGCACATACACAGCGTGCGTAACGGCGTACATAACACATCCTATATGGTTGTGTCCTGTTTAATGATTATGATTCATAGCAGAGAGATGTTAGTAACTAGCTGTTGTTAACTGAATCAAGTATCAACTTGTGTCTCAATTGTGCCATTTCCTTTTGTCACGTTATATCCTAATAAATTACTATTTTGTCTTTTGCTTTCTGAAGTTTGATGGTGATGTTCTGTAGCTGATGAATGAATTTCTTCATTTCAACAATGAATTTTCCAGCCTTTGATGTCATCCCACTTTCGTCTATTTCTTCATCTATGGGTGTTTCTGCTAGTTTGTTCATGTCTTCGAGCACACTGGTATTTTCGAAAACTGAGATCATAGCAAGCACAAAGTTAAATCTGCCAACATCTGCTGCTAGTGATGCAGTTGAATGCATATTTGCAGACATCTGCGCAGTCAATTCAACAACATCTTCTATCTGTATGACATCTTGCTCTTTCAATATTTTCTCAGTAAGCTTAATTTTGTTCATCTTTTCAATCATAGGCTTGATTTTATCCTGAAATTCTTTCAGTTCAGCTTCAATGTCTTGTCTTAATTTTGTCATCTGCCGCATTTTATTAGAGCTGTTTATTCCACGGGAAAATAGAGCAGCTCTTAGCGCCAGTACTCTTGTGACAACAACATAAGCAGCAGCAAGAAGAGAAGTTCCCAGAGTAAATGGAGCTGCAACTATTCCTGCAACCAGAGCAACACCTCCACTGATTCCCAGCCATCCTGCATCTCTGGAGGCTTCAGGAGAACGTCTGTAATCTTCTTCAAATTCTTCGATAATACTGTGCAGTCTCTCTGTGCACTGTTGGAGTTCAAGGTGATCTCTCTCATAGAGCTCAATAAATTCATCTCTGGGACGAATGACTCCAGCTCTACAGAAAATAAATATTAGTTTATAATTATAGAACAATTTGTAATATAAATGTTTTTATTAATGGTAAACATATTAGTTGATATGCAGATGACTTTGATAATATATGGCGCTTTATTCTACTGTACATATATTAAATACTTTAAACTATTTATTAATGTTGCATTATAATATAAATAATGTCATGTTTGTTTAAACACCCAGTTATGGCAATCTTCTGAATTAATGCATAACAATGTTTTCTCACATTATTTCGGGAGGTTCATCCAAACTCTTGCGCCGGCGGTCATGAGTGGATGATGCCGCTGCTTCAATTACATAACACAAGTGAACCATTATATGATGTGCATCAGAAGTGGATAAAAAATGTAAATCAATCACATTATTAAAACACTATTGTTCCAGGTGAGTGCTGCTGTTGTCTGTGTAATTTCTGTGTATGTAAACAATAAATAGTAGCTTGTATAAATTATAATAATTTATCTTTTTTTAATGTAATGCATTTTGTAAGAAAAACCCTTCCTGTTTGACTCCACTTAATATTAATAATAAATGGTTGAATCCTACAAGTTCCTTGCCACTTACATCTGCAGGGATCTTAAAGGGGTCATATGATGCGATTTCAAGTTTTCCTTTCTCTTTGGAGTGTTACAAGCTCTTGGTGCATAAAGAAGATCTGTAAAGTTGCAAAGACTAAAGTCTCAAATCCAAAGAGATATTCTTTATAAAAGTTAAGAGTCAGCCACGCCTACCTAAAACGCCTCGTTCTAACACGCCCCCTCCGTGCCTCAGCAGCGGTGGGTCCTGAATCGCGGGAAGCAGATGGCTGCCCCTCTTTCCTCGAAAAGAGAGACAAACGAGAGCGGAGCTTTTTCCTTGGAAAAATGCTTGCAGTGCACGCCGATTGCCCCCTCGGAGACATCGGGTGTGTGCTCTTCGCCCAAACAAATAACGCATAGATTGTGTGTGTCATCAGATGTTAAACAACGACAACACGGATGCACACATCCTCTAAACGTTCTGCTAGTGCTCGCCATAATAATAGGATAGAGATCGCTCTTACCACGTTCAAATGCACGCTTCAAACAAAACAGTCAGTGAAGACGAAGAAGTGAATGACATGTTCTCCCGGCGCCTATTTATACTAATAGTCGCACCGGTAGTGACGTCATGGGCTGTCGCCGGCCAACGTGTTGTTGGTGTTTTTCAATGTATGCTTCAGACACGGGTCACGACGAGGCGTGGAACTTGCTTGTGTGTGTGAAACATTTTTCGCCAGACTGTTTTTCAGACCTTGGCCAATATGAAGCTGGACCTTAAAGTTGCATTTAAAAGATGGAGCTGTACCTACAATTAGTCAGAAAGATGCAAGTAATTTTTTTAATATATAATTCTTGTTTGTTTTTTTTTGACTATTGTTAGCAAACGCCAACTTCTGAGGTAGTTGATTGTACTATGAGTGTCAAACGTAGGCCTACGTGATGTAGAAGCTTACAATACATGTGTGCTAACGTTAGTTTTTATAGGAAATTGTGAAAGTAACAGTCCACAACACTGTTGGCTAACGTTATTCGTATGATAGCTTAGGTCTGAAAGATGATTTTGCTGTTATCAACAGTCTAAATTGACGTAAGAGGTGAACTCACGGAAAAGAGGGGTGGCGTGAGCAGTAGCTCATTAGCATTTAAAGAGCCATGCACCAAAATGGGTCGCTGTGAACAGAGCTGATTTGACAAGGTAGAAAGGGTGTTCCTCTTCAGGAACTCGAGCTGTGTCGGAAACGCTAGGGGAACGCCTTCTGTAACCACGCTCTGAATAACATGTGAAATCAGTCCAATAGCTGAGCGGGACGTCACGGGCGGGTGACGTCATGACCAGGAAGCTATAAAAGCACGTGCGGCGGAGCCAGCGTCAGCTTTCTGTCATTCAGCGAAGCGCTCTGTGTGTGTCAGTCATATTTATTGTTGTCTGTCAATTGTGAAAGTCTATAAGCTCCAGCTATGTCTAAGCTCATGCAAAGACAAAGCATTTCAAGGGCGAGAGCAAGCCACGTTGTAGGTTGTGTGTTCCTCCCTGCCCAAAGAAAACGTTATATCACGAGTGGGGATTCACACAGCCTGTGGGTGGTTTGCTTGGGAGCAAAGCACAGTTGTTACTGCCTTGCTTCGCTCTCAGAGGGCTCTCTTTGAGCAGCATTAATAGGGAGCGGAGCGTGCGCAGTCGGCTCTCGGGGGGCGGATTGTGTTTTTTCCGCT